ACTGATTTTCTCAATCAGTCTTCTTAAATAAGAACCCTTAAATTTTCTCAAAACACTAATCATATTCAATTTATATTACCGCTGTAACACACTGCCACAAATTCAGTGGCTTAAGCCAACAGATCTCGTTGTCTTACAGTCCTATCGATCAGAAGTACAATGTAGGTTTCCTTGGGCTAAAAGCAAGGTGTTGGCAATGGGTAAATATTAAGGTGTTGGTGAGGCTACATTCTCTTCTGAAGGGTCTCTGGGGGAATCCATTTTCTTGTCTTCTCAAGCTTCTATAGGCCACCTGCATTTCTTGGTTTATGATAACTTTCTTTGTCTCAAAGTCTTCAACGTTGGGTCAAGTCCTTCTCAGACTACAGCTCTCTGACCACAGCTGGGGACAGCTCCCTGCTTTTAAAGGCTCATGTGATTAGACTGAGTCCACTGGGTTCATCAGAATCATCTCCCCAAATTAAGGTCTGTAAACGTAATCATATCTGCAGTGGCCCTTTTATCATGTAAGGGACCACGTTCACAGGTTCCAGGAATTAGGACAAGGGCATCTTTGGGGCACGGGGAGTGCTGGTGGGTATTATTTGGCTTATGACACCATTTTAACTGCGTGTGTCCCCTGATCAAGAACTTTAAATGACTACTTATTACTCATTAATGTGAAGTTTATCTTCTCAGTATGATTTAGAAGATCCTTTAGACTAAATTCTAACTTATTCCCAAATAGATATCTGACACTATTGTCAGGGTGGTTTCCGTTATGTATCTTTAACATGCTATGATTTTCTTGATTGTTCTTCCAGTTGAAATGTCCTATAGTCCCTCCTTTGCTTATCAAAGTCCTGTCAACCTTCCAAGTCCAGTTAAAGCTTCCCCATTGACATGACCTTTCTTTAAATTGTTTGGTATAATACTATTTAGTATCTATGGTGGACTTCTGTTGTTTGCCTGTTCAGAATTCGCTTATTCTTCCTCTAGTAATAGCTCCCTGATTTTCCTCTGCTGGGAAAAGATTCTCCCATTAGGTACAAACCCTATGGCTTTTCAACAAAATGTACTAGTGGCCAGGGCAAAAGGTGAGGTCATGATCCCAGCTAAGTAATCAGATGCTGCTTCCCTTGACCACTTGAACCCAAGAACAAAAACAGTTGGAATTCATACCTTCTAGAAGCAGTACACTGCTAACTAAAGCACTAGAACTTCCTTGATTTCTTTGGCTTTTATTTTAATTCTATCAAACCCCATATATCCTTCCCAAAAATTTATTCTTGGTTAAGCCAGAATCAATTTCAGTTTTTTTTTCCCTAAAAGCCAAAGAACTGTAACTACTAAAGCCTTGCATTGTTCTTTATATGTCATGATAACTTCAAATTCTTCATCTAAGTTTCTTAAAATCTACAGTACATTTAATACTTCTTTTGAATACTCTACAGTCCTTATATATTACTAGATGCAAAAAATTAATACTTCTAATGAATTAATTGATTGATTCATAAAGTATTAATTTTTATCATTTTTCCAGAACATGAATTATCCCTGATGACACGTTGAGGGCCAAGAATATGACATATTTCCCTGGTATCAATCCTGCTATCCAGAGAAAAAGACTAAAGAGAAAACCATTGCTCCTTTCTGACAGATGGGCTAGAAAAATCACCTTTCCACTGATATTTTTATATGTGTGCCTGTTGAGTCACTGCAGTCGTTTCTGATTCTTTGCGACCCCATGGACTGTAGCCTGCCAGGTTCCTCTGTCCATGGGATTTTCCAGGCAAGAATACTGGAGTGGGTTGCCATACCCTTCTCCAGGGGGTCTTCTGGACCCAGGGATCTAACCTGCATCTTCTGTGGCTCCTGAATTGCAGGTAGATTCTTTACCACTGGGCTACTGGGGAAACTCATAATTTATTCATATTTCCTATATTTCCAATGAATACAACCACGCTTTTATCCAAAGATTTGTATCATCCTGTCACATGGCCTCCATTTAGCATGTGTTGGATCTATTAATAACTTCCTGACTCAGGAAGCGAACCCAAGTCTCCTGCATCGCAGGTTGACTCTACTAACTGAGCCACCAAGGAAGACCTATTAACACCTGCACTAAACTACTTGGCTGTGCCTATTTTCTTAATAGGCACAAGGCTCTGCAGGCTCATATGAAATTTTTGGAAGACTTTTCCTAAATAGTTCTCTGAATTTAAATAAACGGAATGTCCTTCCTTTGTTTGGCTTTGTATGTTGGGTATTTACCATTAGTTGGCCAGACAGGATATTTCTAAAGGATCCGTATTTTATGTCTCCTTCTTAATGAATTCATGTTGGACCCTAATGAACAAAACAACATCTTGTGGCCATTTGAGGAGAAATATGTTCTAGAACTGATCAAAGTCAAATACATTGCCTACACTTTCCTATTTAAAAAAAAAAAAAATGTGATATTCTATCAAAGTCTAGTCTTCTGGGAGATTTTTCCTTCTGCATAATGCCTTCAAAATGGCCAGTTCTGCAGTTTTTCCATTGTTGTACAAATTTGAGGGTAATCCTCTCTGAAACTACTTGAACGTGAACCCTTCAGCACCTTCCAGAAAAGACACCAGATTTTTGGCCTGAGGTACAAAAAGGATGGAGTTGAATTTAATTAAATAGGAACATAGTAGAAGAAAAAACAGTAAAGGACTGTTGGTCATTGAACATGTTACCTTTTAATGTCTAGTAGATATCCAAGCAGATAGGTAGTTGTGTAATGAAGTTTAGAAATCAGGGAAAATATCTAGTCAAGGAATAGTCAGTTACAAATGGCAATTAAAGGCACAAGGCTGTATGGAATAAAGTAGGGATTGTACATATAGAGAAAACTCGAGGAGGGCATGGCAACCCACTCCAGTATTCTTGCCTGGAGAATCTTATAGATAGAGGAGACTGGTAGGCTTCTGTCCATAGGGTCGCAAAGAGTCAGACATGACTGAAGTGACTTAGCGCATATGCATATAGAGAAAAAGTTCCAAAATTAAGAGCTCAGGCCGACTCCAGCATTTACAAATCAGTTGCGGAAGACAGAAGATATTAGGGAAGATCAAGGATGAGACTGAAAACAGGCTGACAATCAGATGAGTAGGGTACCTTGGAAGTTGAATGGGAGAAGTGTCATGGACTTCTTTTCCTGTGAGTTCTCAGACTTTGAATAGAATCAGCCTGATGGTTCTGTGAGATCTCAAGAATTTCGTCTTATAGGGATTTCTGTCTCTCCCCCACAAAATTCCAAATTAAATCTCACACTCACTCCATGTGATGGTCTGTTCTGCTGCCCCTGGCATGAACCAGGTGCTAAGTCACTGTAGTCATGTCTGACTCCTTGCAACCCTATGGACTATACCCTGCCAAGCTCCTCTGTCCATGGGGTTTTCCAGGTAAGAATACTGGAGTGGGTTGCCATTTCTTTCTCCAGGGGAACTTCCTGATCCACGGATCGAACCCAAGTCTCTTACGTCTCCTGCATTGGGAGGTGGGTTCTTTAACACTAGTGCCACCATAGCCAGAGCTGCAGTGTAACTGGGGACCAGAAGGCCTTGTTTTTCACCCTAGCTTCGTCTTTTACTACCAACTGTGACCCTGGACAGCTTGGTTTATCCCCTTGTAAAATGGTCAGAGCTATGCCTCCCTGCCCTATCCAGAGACTAATGAAGTGATCCAAGGAGCTAATAAAAGACAAAGCACTCTATAGATTGTTGAAGCATAGTCTTCAGAAGGTGTTACTGTTGATAGAGGTCCAGAGGATCAATGTTTCCCACTGTGCGTTGGTGTGTGTGCTTGATCATGGCCTACTCTCTGCAACCTTGTGGTCTGTAGCCTATCAGACTCTTCTGTCCATGGGATCCTCCAGGCAAAAATATTGGAATGGGACCCCCTACTCCAGGGGATCTTCCAGACCTAGGGATTGAATCTGTGTCTCCTGCATCTCCTGCATTGGCAGGCTGATTCTTTTTTTTTTTTTTTATTTTTATTAGTTGGAGGCTAATTACTTTACAATATTGTAGTGGGTTTTGTCATACATTGACATGAATCAGCCATGGATTTACATGTATTTCCCATCCCAATCCCCCCTCCCACCTCCCTCTCTACCCGCTCCCTCTGGGTCTTCCCAGTGCACCAGGCCCGAGCACTTGTCTCATGCATCCAACCTGGGCTGGTGATCTGTTTCACTATAGATAATAAACATGTTTCGATGCTGTTCTCTCTAAACATCCCACCATCACCTTCTCCCACAGAGTCCAAAAGTCTGTTCTGTACATCTGTGTCTCTTTTTCTGTTTTGCATATAGGGTTATCATTACCATCTTTCTAAATTCCATGTATATGTGTTAGTATACTGTAATGGTCTTTATCTTTCTGGCTTACTTCACTCTGTATAATGGGCTCCAGTTTCATCCATTCTTTACCACTGAGCCACTGGGAAGGCCTGGGAGAACCCAAACTTTTGGTTGGAAGATGCTGAGGGAATCATGGGACATGCTTCTGTCTGATGTGTTCTTTCAAAAGTTATTTCTCAGTAGGATATGTATTCTTCTTAAAAATTTTTATTGGGCTATAGTTGTTTCACAATTTTGTGTTAGTTTCTGCTGCACAACGAAGTCAATCAGTCATATGTGTACATATATATGTACAATCATATGTGTACATATATGCCCTCTCTCTTGGACCTTCCTGCCACCTCCCCATCCCACCCATCTAGCTCATCACAAAGCAGTGAGTTAAGTTGCCTATGCTATATAGCAACTACTCTCTAAAAATATTCTTTTCAAATATACTGACATCTAGAATTTTATAATTAATATAATTTCTTACATTTCAAATAAATTCTTCACTATGGTAGGCCATAATCTATGATAAATTTATATAGTGCTTTCCCAAACTAAAACCAATGTCTTTAAACACATTATAGTCCTGTCACTGCTTTTAATCCCTTTAATGTAGTATGGAAAAACAAAAGAGACTAAATCAATCAGTGACATTTTCAATGCAAGGTGTTTCATGCATTTTTATTTTTCAATTTTGTTTTTTCCAGTTTCCAACAAAAAATAAATAAAAATTAATAATATCCTGTGAAGTATCTATAGTCTCCTTCAATATCTTAAGGTACACAATTATCAAAGCTGATATTGAACACAAACAAATTGATACAATTCAGTACTCTGATAAAATTCATTGTCAAATAAGTTACTTTAAACTGCATGTGATACAACTTTATGTTCTATAGCGTCTTTAATATAAACTGTATACCAAAATGGCTCTTCAAACTTAAAAAGTGCAATTACAGAGTGCAAAAAAAGCAGAGAGAAATTCACTTTCTTACATTTAACCTCATCCAACTTGAATAACAGGCATGTTTTAGATAAAATTATTCGTCAGTCAAAACATTAAATTTTACTCAAGCAACACTGTTTATATAAAAGCTGTGACTCCCCGTTTTCCCATATGAATAAGAGTAGAAAGAAATCAGAAAGTATTGGGCAGCAAGTTAAACACATTTTCCCCCAAAAGTCTACATACTGACTGCTGCAGCAAAAATGGCAAAATGAATCAGACATGAGTTTTTAAAAACTGCACTACTGAATTCAACAGAAATTAGAAGCCAGTATCATGTATTTGGTACATAGAAATTGATCTGACACCTCAGAGCAGTTGAATTTAACTAATCCTCTTTCAGGACTCAAAAATAAAAATCTGTCCTCCCAATGCACCATCTGTCTCCTTGCTTTGACTTCGGCAGAGAGATAAGAACAAAGAATGTCCAAAAGAACAGTGGCATTTGATTGTATTTTAAATATTTAATATGTCACACCAATCTTGATTGTGAGGTTACATCTTTAGCATCAATCTTAGAACCTCTTTGGTTACAGAGTATGTCTACTGGGTTACTGTGTGGTCTTGGTGGGAAGCCACAATCCAGGTATTCATGCATTGGTTTGCATTTAGTCTCAATACATTAGATATAGATGGATCTTTCCAGAAATATATATAGTGAGAAATTTGTAAAATAAGGAAGTCAGACTAAATATGAGCCAATTTTTTTTCATTGTTTGTAAGAAACATGAGCTAATAGCAATGGTTTTTTAATGTTTGCTCAGCATAATCTTCACTAAAACATTTTTAAAATTAATTTTCACCCATAAAAGCAATCTGTGTCCTATCTTTTTTATTATTTAATATCAAATTATAAATAAAAATTTAACTTTTACAGGGGCTAGTTTTTAATCTTTATTTAAGCATCCTTAAATAAAGATTTAACATCCCAAACCACTTACAATTAATTATGTAATATGAATTGAAATGCTCAGGATAAACCAATATGATTCCCTTTTGTAACAAAATAAATGGATTTCAGAAGATTTCTTGGTTTGTCAATAAATTTTCTTTGAAGCAATCAATATCACTCGAAATAAGCAGACCTCCCTTACATACAGTAGATGTCAATAAGGACGTGTAGGATTTAAAACATATTTTTACACAGCACATTTGATTTCAGCTATATTACTGGGAAACAAATATGCTTTTAGATCTGTTTAGACCATATATAGAATAACTGTCTTATATTATACTTTAACACTTAGTCCATCAAATTTTGGACTCTGATTTAATTGTAGAATTCTTTAGCAAAGTTCATATAGAAATAAATACTCTTCAAAAAAGAAGCACAAATTTTGGCTTCATGTGTGGATTTTTTTTATTAGTTCATGAGCAACAGTTACCTAACATAAATGTTGTACTGAAAAAAAAAAAAAAGAACATTGTGAAGCTATACATAAAATTACATAAAAGATGGTAAAAGTTTTCTCAATTCATTTTCTTAAGGAAAATCTATTAGATCAGCAGTCCCCAATCTTTTTGGCTCCAGGGACTGGTTTTGTGGAGGACAATTTTTCCATGCACCAGGGAGAAGTGAGTGATGGGGAGAGGCTGTAAATACACATGAAGCTTTGCTTGCTTGCCTGCCACTCACCTCCTGATGTGTGGCCCATTTCTAACCAGCTGTAGACTGGGAGCAGTCTGTGGCCGGGGGTTGGGGACCCCTGTGTTAGATGGATGACTAATATCCATAGGAGCTGTGAATGGGCATAGAGAATTGTGCACATTCCTTCCAGGCAGTAAACAGTGAGGATGTGTGAGCGGGGGGAACAGAGGGTGTAGTGTTTAGCCCAAGATCTATATTTGCTTCTCCCCAATTCCCATAGCATTACTGTTTCAATACATGGCAGAGTGGTGCCAACTCAAACACCAAACTCTGATACAGTCAAACCAATTATCATTGATTCGAGGAGTAGAAAAATATATTAAATTGGTTTGACCATATTCTAGGCTTATAGAAATCTATCACGTGCTGACACTTTCTAAACAATGAACTGGGCATTGCTCACTCCTATGAACTGTATACCAGGCAAAAAGTTTTCAGTAAAGCATTTAGCCCAGAAAAGGATTTCTTACAAAAATATCCACTTTCCTTTTATATTAAATATTTTGTGTACATTACACATTAGCAATCTGTTAAAAATAAAACAAAAATAAAAACTTTTCTTAGTATATTAAAAAATACATCATTGTTGACTTAACATATGACCCCACATAAATATTATTAATAAAATAGGAATATTAACATAACCAGGCATGCAGTGCATCCTGCCCATAAGCTTAATGGCACCATTCAGACTTGCGGCAATGCCGGATCCCCTGACGTCACTCTTTCATATTCCTTCTTTGGTTCTTTACTTTTTCGATTTCTATACCTAGAAATATTCAGAAATGAAATCATTAGCACTGTAGTTAACAGTAATAACAAAGTATGCTAACAAAAGAAACAAATATTTGGACTCTAAAGGTATTTCAGCATGGTGCTTCCAAAATGACACAGGTAACCAGGTTTAGGTTGAAGGTGAGAAAAAAGGGAGGGAGCGAGGAGTAGTTTCCCTCAACAAATAATTTTGGGAGGAAATGGTGAAATGCAGTTAAAGAACTTCTCAGAGGCTTTCAGATGTTCATGAAAATTGTAAAACTCCAGGAGAGCATGTGACCACATTTAATCCTGGACTGTTATCATTTTTTTTCTTTTTCTCTGTCTTCCCTTCCCTTTTCCTTCCTTCTTTCCTTATTACAAATAAGAAAAAAAGTACAAATACTTTGAATATCACTATTATATTCTACCTATCACATTGATGTAATGTTATCACCAATAAAAATAAAAATAACTAATATGTATCAGGCAATCACTATGTGACAATGTTTCAAGTGCTATATATTCATTATTTATTTTATCTTTACACTTAGCATTATCATCCTCATTTTACAGATGAAGAAAGTAAAATACAAATGGATTGCATAACCTGGCAAGTTCTCCTAGCTAGGATTCATAAATCTAGTGGTTCAGAATCTTCATTCACTCATTCATTAAAGCTATCTACCTAATATTTTGAGTTCGTTTTCTACCCATTTTGAAGATGAATCATGTAGACTTAAGGAAACTGCATAATGTTTTTACTTAGTTGAAAAACACAATTAGCAAAACCTTTGTTTAGCCTTGATCTGGCTACTTGTCAACTAGACAAGCCAGGGCATGTCAATTCACCTCTCTGGGTCTCCCTTTCTCATCTTTCTAAAAGAAACGATTGTAGTTAAAGAACTTCAGGTGTCTTTCACTTGTAATAATATTCAGTTATGTGATCATAACTAAAAAGTATTATAATTTGATGAATACTTAGAAGTAAACAAAGACCAAATAAATTTAATCTTGTAAAAGTAACATTTTTGGAGCTTCAAAAGTAGAAGTACATTATTTTCAGCAAAAATAAAGTAAAATTCACTCGAATGTACACTGAAAAATCTGTAGCCCTTCCAAAATAAGAAGGATTTCATGGAGACATGTTAAAGGCAGCTACTATTAAGCAGGGCTTTCCAGGTGGCACGGTGGTAAAGAGCCAGCCTGCCAATGCAGGAGATGCAAGAGACTCAGCTTTGATTCCTGGATCAGGATGTTCCCTTGCAGTAGGAAGTGACAACCCACTCCAGTATTCTTGCGTGGAAAAGTCCATGGACAGAGGAGCCTGGCAAGCTACAGTCTATGGGGTCGCAAACAGTTGGATATGACTGAGCACACACACTATTTAAGTCATACTATTCCTGATCCTAACCTTAAAAAACAATATGATATACTGTCAAAAGTTTCAATGCCCATTCAGTTATCAGCATATTTCAGTACAGCACAGTACACGAATATAGAGTGTTGAAGATGGAATTTTAAGGGATCGGCATGAACCAATTTTTAAAAGTAAGCTCTTACAATTATCCGGACACTCGTTTTTACTAGTCTGCCTTAAATTTTAAGATCCTAAGCCTCTAGGGTTATTAATTTATAAAATATATTTTATGAAATACAAACTTTGATCTAATAAATTAAATACAAGTGGCTAAATTTAACACTGGCATGATGCCTTATGATTTACTTTTGCATGTCTTATACTCAATACTGATAGTGCTCCTGTCATTAATGTAGAATAAGGATTTCTATTTGTATTTTATAAAGGAAGGAACTGATACTCTTAGTTTAAGTTGTATAAGGTCACAGAGATAATAAACAACAGAGCCCAAAACAGAGTCAAGTCCAGATGCTTTGCTGCTGAAACTTCCTGAAAAATATCTTTAGTGCAGAGTCTGTCTTTTCCCACTAAATAATACTTTGCCATGTTTTTACCCACTCTGTGTGTCATGTATAAAGGTAATTTACAAAAGCAGAGTGTTAAAAAACAAAAACACTGGCTTACCATCTGCAGAAGTAGTATATGGAACCAGCAACTATGACAAGGAACAAGATAACAAGAATCACGGTCAAAGCCACATATTCTTTGCTCAGAGGTTTTTGGACGGTTAAAAAGAAATGCTCACACCGGACACCAGTGTAACCTACTTCACACCTAAAGAACAATGGAAGAGAAAGATCAATTATTTTAAAAAGAAATCTTTGTTCTGAATTAGTTTCACAAGAGGTCATCTCACACTATAATGCAAGATATCAACAAGGTCTGCCAAAAGTTGTAAAGATGAATTCAAAAACTGACCTGAAAGCTGGCCCAACCTTGATAAAAGAGCCCCATGAAGCTCTCAAATCGTAACTGTTGTATTAAAATGATAGTCTGATTCAGCCGCCAATGTGGCTGACAATGGTGTTTTGTAAGTTGTGTGGTTTTGCGGTGCTTTTTGTCTAAATCAGTGGAGTCAATACTTGTAACAATAACTGACATATAAGTCCAGTGAAAAGATTAAAAGGTGACCTGCTATTGTGGTAAATGTGAGAGGAAGATATCTGAAGCCCTCCCCATTCCACACCCCTGAAGTATCTGTATAATCTGACAAGTACCATTTCTTCTGCTATTTGTTCCCCAACTTAAAAGAAGGTGGCGCTAGTGGTAAAGAACCCGTCTGCCAATGCAGGAGGCATAAGAGAGCCGGGTTCGATCCCCGGGTCGAGAAGATCCCCTGGAGAAGGGATGGCTACCCACTCTGGTATTCTTGCCTGGAGAATCCCACGGACAGAGGAGCCTGGTGGGCTACAGTCCATAGGGTTGCAAAGAGTCAGACACAACTGAAGTGACTTAGCACACACAGCACAACTTAAAAGAAAAACTCTATATTAAGTTTCTAATAGTAAATATAAATTGCATGCTAATAGTACTAAAAACTACAGGCCATGGAAATAATAGAGTAATTAAAGATAAAAAAGAGAGACAATGTGGGTTTTTAAAAAATTGTTTGTTTGTGTTTGGCACATTACCTGCAGTAATTTTCACTCATGTCTACCAGGTAGATGCACTGTCCGTGCAAACAGTAGCCATTCATATCAGCACTACACTTTGTTATTGACACTTGAGCCACACGTGGATTATCTTCAGTTTGAACTGTGAAAGAAATGGAAAGTGGAATGTATTCTGTTATTTTCTCTGAAATAGTAATCAGCCTTTCATAATAGTAACCACTCTCAGGCATTTGTGGACAAAATGTCACTTTAGTTATCATACTCTCTAGACCAATAAGCAAAACACTGGATTCCCAAAGGAAAATGTCCAGAGGACTAAACAAAACAAAATAAAAACTGGGAATAAAATTCTCAAAAGACAACGTTTAAGGATAGAAAAGGTAAGTTGAAGGCGCACACGAAAAATCAAAATACTTTACGGCTATCCACTTATCCAAATAAGGTTGCCTAATTTTTTCAAATAATTCTGATATTTGCAAGCTGAATCCATTAATTAATTTAAGACAGCTTAAATCTATAGCAGGCTTTAAGCCAATAAGGCTTGTTTTGGTGTGCATTCTCTGGTAGCTCAGTCGGTAAAGGATCTGCCTGCAATGCAGGAGACTAGGGTTTGATCCCTGGGTCAGGAAGATCCCCTGGAGAAGGAAATGGCAACCCACTCCAGTATTCTTGCCTGGAAAATCCCATGGAAGAATCTGACAGGCTACGGTCCATTGGGTCAAAAGAATCAGACATGACTTATGACTAAACCACCATCCCAAACCCAAAATCAATCAAAGTCTCTAATGATAAGACCTGAACATGAACTAAACAAACACTGACTTATAAATGCCTTTGTTACACAAATACAACCATGAAAATAGTAGCCTCTTTAGAATAGTGCTACAACCTACACATAAAATTTACTTTAGAACTTTATATAATTTTTTTTTTTTACAATTTATTTACTTTTTTGGCCATGTGGCATGTGGGATCTTAGCTCCCAAACCAGGGATTGAACCCATGCCCTCTGTAGTTGAAGCATAGAGTCTTAACCATTGGCCCACCAGGAAATCCCTAGAATGTTTTAATTACTAAAATTTGAAGAATCTACATGAAATACAGGACATCTTGACTGTAATACTCTTGTTCAAATAGCTAAAAATAGGGAGCGAGGCAGACCAAACCTCTAGAGTATAATGAGGAAGGACAAGAAAGGAGGTGTAATACTCTGGTTACTCAGGATAACTCTGAACTCAATAACTCAGACTGAGTATAAAGCAGATCTCTCCTGAACCACAGTCAGAGCCCTCTGGGGTCCAAAGATGAGGCTAGGTACCACTGATCTGTGTGCAAGTATGCTAAGTCGCTTCAGTCGTGGCTGGCTCTTTGTGAGGCTATGGACCATAGCCCGTCAGGCTCCTCTGTCCATGGGATTTTCCAGGCAAGAATACTGGAGTGGGTTGCCATGCCCTCTCCAGGGGATCTTCCCTACCCAGGGATCAAACCCACATCTCTTACATCTCCTGCATTGGCAGGTTAGTTCTTTACCACTAGTGTCACCTAAGCACGGTATTTGGCATGAATTAAATACTCTATAGATATTTTCTAAATGAATGCTGTAACTCAAAATAAAGGACATCATTTGTTCCTTTTACAAAAAATAACAAAATATGTTATCTACTGTGTACAAAGCTCAAATTTGCCTATTTTGCCTGGGATCCAACCTCTCTCAATGGTGTCACAGCAAAGCTCTGAAATGATCAAAGGGAATCTGATTTTCTTTGTTCCCTCTCTTTAAGATCAAATCTTCACATTTAACTAGATATCCAGTCCCTCTGCCTCCAGTTACTCCTTTATATAATTTTTTCAGATCATTGAGTTGTTAATAGAGCAGCTATTCCCCCCTCTTTTTCCCACTATCTCATATTTATAGTCATATTTCTATTAAGAATGCATAATTATTTGATGCAACATTAAAAAAGCTGGGCTTACCTAATGCTGTGCAGTTATCTCCCGACTCTCCTGGGATACATGAAGGAATCACAGTTGTACTGAAGACTGCTTGAAGAAGATAGAAAACTATTTATGGAGAAAAATAAAATATATAACTAACGCTTCAAGAAAAAAACTCTGACTAGATTTTCACATAATTACAATATTTGCAGATTTCTTTGAATTATTTCAAGAATTTGATCCATCTAAACCATGAAAGAAAATAATTCATGGAAACAGGCATATCACTGAAAATAAATGAACACCCAGCCCTGTGTCCCATGGTAAAAGCCTTGGCATTACATTCAGAGTTACAAAATTGACCTGCTCTAAACATTTCACAGTAACCTTTTCAAAGACCTGGTTTTAACATCCGATTTCTTAAGAAGCTTAGCAATTGGAAAAATTTCCACTGTTTTACTTCATGATGTGTTCAGAGCAATGCTCCAAAGTAGAACCTATCACAAGGAAGGCTTCAAATAAAACTGAGCTTCTATTTATGGTCGCAATGAAATAGGACTCTCAACTGAAGATATATCAGTTGTTGATTTAAGTATCTAAGGTACTCTTTGTATTACACATGAAAATATTAATAGATTTTAATGAACAATGTGTAATCTAAGTAAACTCACAACATATCTTATCCAATACGGGAAGGAATACACACACTACGTGAACCATACTGAGCCTTAGAATACAGTTTCTGTCAGCCATGAGAGATTAACAAGGTGTTTCACTGTGTGTCTCCACTGAGAAGATAAACGTTGGGTAACTGGCACCAGGATGACTCAAGAAGTTTGTGAACTGCATGGAAAGAAGAGGAAGAATCTTTTAACTGCAGGAAAATTTACTGAAGAGAGTTTTACTCTTCTTCTTAGGAGTCATGTATTTGCTCTTTAATCACTCGTTCCAGGTTATATGAGTAACTGTTACATAATAAACATTATTGGTGGTGGTGGTGGTAGTTGGCAGCAGTTGACATTTCCTCACCATGTACTGTGTGTGGGCATATAGATTTTTTAAGGTCTGAGACACCAGGGCCCAAGAATACTGGAGTGGGTAGCCATTTTCTTCTCCAGGGGATCTTCCTGACCCAGGGATCGAACCTGGGTATCCCACATTGCAGTACGATTCTTTGCCGTCTGAGTCATCAGGGAAGCCCATCCTTACCTATTCTAGCACTTTAATCCACTCAGTGACTCTGTGAAGAAGATACTGCTGTTCTCCCCATTAGCCATACGAGAAAAGTGAGGCATAAAGAGCTTAAGTAACTTTCTTCAGAGTACACAGCAATGTTGTTCGTGGGCCACGTTACAGAATTTGGAAGCAGGCAATAACACTAGAGTATAATGGACATTACAGGGAATGAACTCAGCTAAATGTAAATGAAGCAGAGTATTTAACGCCATAAAGAGGCAACAAAGTATGGTGGAAAGGCAATCCCGGGAGAAAACCTGAGCTATGCAATTTTGGACAAATTAATTAAATTCTCTGGATCTCAATTTTCCCAAATCTATAGAGTTTGGGGGAGAATTAAATGAAATGGGACTCATGAATATTCCATGCCATTCAATAGCTAGCTTGTTTTTAGCAGTAGTATATGTGGATAGTGCCCTCTGCTGGTCTATAAGAAGGTTATAAATCTCCCTGCACTTTGCTATTTTAAAGGATGATTGATTATTCCATATAATAAAGAATTTTATTTTTTCACAATCAGAGGAGGTGTGTACATGTTAAGCAAATTGAGTATGATTTGGGTAAAGCATAAGCATCAGAGTTTGTAATTTCTTAATGTTTCAAACTTGACAGTGATAATAATCCTGTGAAGTAGTTATATTAACCTCAATAACTGCAATGTAGTTAAATTAAATGTCTTATCCAAGACCAATTATCTAGAGATTATAGAAGATAAGGGTTAGGAGTACATCTTATGACATCAAGTCTCATAACCTTTCAGTGACTTGAAAATATCTTTTGGAAAGTTTAGAACTATTACCTCCCTGCTCCATATTTATCCTACAATATAAATGATACTTTGATTATCCTTACAGGGGAAAAAAAAAAATCTTCCTTAAATGACAAAAAAAAAATGGCTAAAATTTGGATTCCACTGTCAGTTGAACAAAGATGGAAAAGGATAACTTTGTCTACACATTTTTCTAGGGGTGAATTAGCTAGAGTTTTATCCAAGCCAATATCATTCTACTTCTCGATATAATTTTGCCATGAACTTTCACTCATAATGAATTACCTCCTTTGATTTATACAATCTGCTCAACACAAGCTGGAGTTTTAAATGTGTGTTTTTACATCCCTGACATTCCTATTCCTCCACGGCTCTTCAACCGATGGGAGGAGATATTATCGATTCTCCTACTGCAAAAGGGCCAGCCAGGTCCACTGTGCAAAGGCACATTTCTCTGCAAAGGATCGTTTCTTCATTCTTTGCAGAAACCAGACACTAGCCTTTCCTGTTCAGAACTGCTTACAAATGCAACCTGCAACTATTATAATAAAATCCAGCTAATTGCTCTGAGGTGTTGCTTATTAGTTGTTCTTTTTTTTTTTTTTTTCTCAAAGGTTTTTCATATTGCTAGTTTTTCCACTGTTGGAAACTTTGTTCCAGTTGGTCAAGCCACAAGTGAAATATTTGTCTTTGTGAATTAAAGAATGTTCAGGGCAGGGCGTGCCTCCACAAAACCTGGGCTTTCCTAACCTCTGACGCTCCCTTGGACATAGTCCATCTCTCAGGATGGTTTCTATGAGACTTGGTACATTAATCCCACATCCGGGTATTTTACAGATGGACTTGTAAATGATTTTAAATGTAGTTCTCAAATGACAGTGTTTAGATTACACTTTCATCATAGATACACGAAGCCAATGAATACTAAGTGTTCAGTTCTTGTGTGTGCGCAGTGGTGTCTGACTCTTGGCGACCCCGTGGACTGTAGCTGGCCAGGCTCCTCTGTCCATGTTATTTTCCAGGCCAGAATACTGGAGTGGGTTGTAGTTTCCTTCTCCAGGGGATCCTTCCAATGACCCAGGGATAAGACATGCATCTTTTGTGTCTCCTGCACTAGCACGCAGATTCTTTACCACTAGCACCACTTGGGAAGAATTACCAAAATTGGTTCCAAATGAACTACCAAAATTGGTTCTAAATCATGTGTTCATTCACACAGCTCCATTGCTTCAAAATTGATTTTCAAGCTTTCCTCAACTTCACATCTAGCCCAGGGCCTTGCTCAATGGAGTAAAGGAATAGCGGGGAGAGATCAAAAGATGGAAAAAGTTCACCCATGGAGAATTTTGACATCTAGCATTAATATCCAATTATAATTCACTACTCATTAAAGCCATACAGGGATACATGCTGAAGCCCTATCTGTATATTTCCTTAATCTTTCAGTTTTTCATGACTTTAGTGTTAGTTGAACATAATGATTTTTCTCTAGGTCAATTACAAACCTTATATTTGAGTTTTTGATCTTGACCATGGGTCCCACTGAGAAAATATAACCCTATGATATTATTTGGATATAGAGTTTGGATAATGTCAGCGTGTCAGCAAACAGATTGGGGGCCAGCCCTACACTGGTAACTAAGACACAGAGGAATTCCATGCTAAATAGTAATTTGTAAACTCAAAATTAGCCATTGGAACTTCTATGTCAATAATGTTATGGAAACAAAACTGTCTTAGGAGCCCATTATTTCTGTCCAATTTCCAAATGGGTTTCAGGAATTTAAAGCTCGCCTATTCATCTAACTTCACCTTTCAGAGATTTGTTTCAGTGAAATCTCAAATGTGCCAGCAGGAAGTGGCACCGGTGACTCACAGGATACAAATCAGCTCTACTCTGAGTCAGGGCCGAGCCTACACCTTACACAATACTGGGGGCAGCGCATGGGAGAGGCTGAGTGCCATCACCCTCGCACTAAATGTCCTGGGCCCTGGGGCATTAAGTGAAAAGTGCGTGCCTGACCTTCACAAGGAATGCTAAAGGTAGAAAACATCCTTTTTATTGCATACGGTTTCTTTTGTCCTTGCTTCCTTCTGGCCACACCGAGGGGCCATCTAGATGGAGACTGAGATTTGGTGACTGGTTAACCAAGCCTATTCTGCAATCATCAACTGCAATTCTCAGAGATAAAATGACTTTCCTGAATAACAATCAAGTCAAATAAAAATGACCCCCAATAAAATGAGATGGGTTACAGAATGAAAGGAATGCACCTTATTTTCCTAATTTAACCTTTTAGGATATTTAGACCAGAACAGCAAACTCATAATGAATCACAGTAATTGCCCAGCCCAAACAGGCAGCAAAATCCTCTTTGTTCACACTTCTGCTTGGTCACATGCCTACCTACACACAAGACTGTTAGTTTTCTACCTTCTTCCAGGGCAGTCTGTAATTTTAGGATTTGTCTTTTTAACATACTAGGCTTGTTAGGTCTTGTATACTTTCAAGGAGTGAATATGCCTTCATCATTTCCAGACGTCTTTTTGTCTTAAATTCCACTATTAGATGAAGTTAAAATAACTGTAAGCTCTTTATCACATCGGACACTGTAAAGAACTACTGAAAGCACTTTCTAGTAACAGCCTATTTCTCAGAGAATAGCATATATAATAGTACATACATATAATGTACATCTGTAGAGCATAAACCTTGCTTCCTACCAGCAATCATTTTCTTTCTACAGCTTTTAATGTTAACTTTACCGCTAGGTATCATTAAAATATACATGTAAAAGCCAGCAGTAACTATTTAGATAAAAACAGGATAACAGAATGAAACCAGAGGTTGATATAATGACAGGTTACAAATAAGTCTTTAATTTTGAATTTCAAAATACAGCCATAAGATCTTCCTTGTCAAGTGTCAAGAAAAGATGTAATAAATAGGTCATAGTTTTCAGTTCAGAGACATTAAATAACTCTTCAGTTCTGGCAATAATTTCTAAAGCATACTTCAAATTGCTCATTTATTTTAGTTATCATACAATACTATACTTAAAACTATTCAAATCAAGAATCATGTGTCAAAATATGAAAGTAGAGCTTATTTTATCATAAA